AGTAGTAGTAATAATAATAATAATGAGATTTAAAGAGGGTTTTCACCCTCCTCACTAACAATTATTCCATTTCCTCAATTAGCCCTTATCATACATTCTTATTTCTCCCAGATCAATAGTTTCCAGTCTTTCAGGGACATAAGAATTAGACCCCCTAGACCATAACCATTAGAGATTCTGATTCAGGAGGTATGGGGTGAGGCCCTGAAATCTGTATCTCTAATTACCAACACACACATTCCTTCAACTCTTTGATTCTGATTCAAGTTCTAGCCATTATGAGAAACAATGCCCTAGATTCCCAAATCCTGACAGCCAACAATGTCTGGCCTTCCTCAACAGCTTCCATCGCAGCAATTTCAACCAAGGTGATGAAAACCAGAGCACCAAAGCTGCTGCCACTGATCAAACTATGAGAACCTGATATTCTACTGTCAATATTTTGCCTCAGCTTAGGTCTACAAAAAAAGCAGAGCTTGCTTATCAAGAATTTACCTATTTAAACAAATGTTTTTCATGTCCCCTAGGGCTTCTTTTATTGAGATATGTTCTTAGAATATTAAACTGGGTTCTAATCCAGCACTGTAACAAACTGATTCCATAACTGAGCAACACAATGAATGAACATGCCTGAGACTTATATAAAATAGACAGAACTATCTTTGTCCTGTTCATTCCTTTATGTAGATTTTTAAGCCTTGGTGTCATGGACCCTGGGGTAGATTGGCAGAAAAAAGAAGTGTCAATAAATGAACTTCAAGAGATTTATAAATCCTGAAAAAAATGACATGAAGAATTCATGTCTATAGATATGTACTTTTTCTGGGAGGAGGCTACATAGCTTTCATCATATTCTCAAAGAAATGGGTAATGAAAAAGACAGAAGCTTATACTGCTAACAGAAAAGTTTAGAGGATAATATATCACTAGTTGATTATCAAGGAATTGATTCTCCAGTTTGTATGTCAATGACTCAGCTTTAAATTTTACCTTTTTCTTCTTCATATCAAGTCTGTGCATGTTGTCATTTATTAGCACTTCTGCTATAGAGGGAAGGAGGAAATAAAAATGCTAAAATTCAAACCAATTTACTTCTTACTATCTGTTTTTCTAAATGTTTGGAGAATGTCCTAAATTAAAGACTAAAATTCTTCCTACTGCCATGTTAATGTGCATGACTAAAAAGCAACTCCATATTTGAAAACTCTGAGAAATGTACATCAAACTATTATCAGAGATCTCTCTGGGGCATAAAACTATCATTGTGGAGAGGGACTTTAATAACTTTCTTCATACAATGTTTGATTTCTTAATGACCAGAACATATTACTCTTATAGTTATAACACAGAAAGTAAGAGAAAGCTCCTGGGAGGCTATATCCTGCAGAACTCACAGTTCATTCTATCTCACGTCACTTCCACCTATCTGCCTCCTTACCTCATGGTCACCTGTTGTGAAATATCTTTCAAAGGTCAATCTCAACTGCGACCTTTCACATAGCTTTCTCTGATCACTATAACAAGAATTTTCTCTCCCTCTTCTAAAGCCTTAGAATAGCATTTTTGCCACTTTTATGGCACATCTGAGTTTATCCAACTTCACTCATCTGAAATGTAACACACATCTAATAATGCACCAAGCACCATTAATATGTGTTGTATTCCTGACAACATGATTATGTCCCTTTACCTCTCATAGTTCCTAGCACAATGCTTGTAAAAACAAAGCACTCGATAAACACTTGCCAAATGATATACAATATAATTATCAATAGTTTTATAAGGTACAAAAAGTAGAGATGACAAAGCAGCCAGGGAAAGAGGGTCTTCACGGTGCCTCAACTCCACTGCAAGATTTTCTGCCCTTCCTACCGTCTGGTTTCATCTGACCTTCAGCAAGTTGGGAGTTAGGATTCTTTCACTTGCATCATGAAGAACCTTAACTAACACAACAGTCTGTGAGTGAGTCAAGATACTCTCATGAATTCATATATACGATCATGTTTGCATTATGTTTCAGGGAAGGATTCTTAGCATTCCTAAAAAGATTCTTAACCCAAAGAAAGGAAGGAGGGGACTACCTACCAATTTAAAGTAAATTGCTAAATAGAAAGCTAAATACAATTAATCAAAAACACCCACTTTTTTTTAGAAGAGCAAGTGAGAGGCTTTTATTTAGAGATAAAGCGAGAGGACAGAGCTCCTGGCTCACGGCAGGAGGGGACAAGAGAGCCCCGGGGAAAAACACCCCTTTCTTTAAGCATCTACCTAATGAAAATTTTACCACAGAGATAATAAGAGTAGATAATAAATGCAAACAAAACCACTGACCTTCATTCCCCACATCATCATTCATGAGTCCCCCCAACCACATCTTCCAGTCCTCATCGTCTGCTGTATTGGGGTCATACATGTCTGGGGTGATGTCTGGAGCTTGGAGCTCTGCCTCTAGTTGCCCCAGGGGAACATCTTTCAGAGGCATCTTAGAGCGGGTTCGGAATGCAATGAGACTGTCATCCATGGACTGGCCAATGGAGAAGGAAATAAAAATGTGTCATTGAATGCCTAATGTTTCTAAAGTCTCCAAACCTCATTATACCCTGTGCACGTCTCTGCTTAGCATAAACCGCAAGATCTTGTCTAAGCAATTTGGGTTTATTATTCTTTGAGAAACTTTAAAGACAATGACATCAGTTTTAAAACCAACATTTTAAGAACATCTATAATGGCTTTATTAAGATATAATTTAATACCATAAAATTCACCCTTTTAAAGTGTATGACTGAGTGGATTTTACCACAGTCACAGAGTTGTATGACCATCACCACTATCTAATTCTGGAAAGTTTTCATCACTGCAAAAAGAAATCCCATTATGTATCCATAATACATAATGAAGTCTAATAACTTAAGTTCATCAGCAGTGGCTCACCATTCTCCCGTGCTCCCAGTCCCTGATAACCACTAGGTTCACTTTCTAGCTATACAATTGCTGTGCTGGAAATTTTATATAAATGGAATCATACAATATGTGGTCTTTTATTTCTTTTACTTATGTAATGCTGCTATGAACGTTTGGGCACATGTTTTTGGGTAATCGTGTTTTCAATTCTCTTGAAGGAACTGCCGGGTCATATGGTAACTATGTTTAACTTTTTGAGGAACCACCAAACCATTTTCCAAAGTGGCTGCATCAACAGTGTATGAGGGTTCCACATTTTCCCACATTCTTATCAACCTTTGGCATTGTTCACCTTTTTTACTATGGTCATCCTAATGAGTGTGAAGTGGTAGCTCATTGTAGTTTCATCTACAGTTTCCTAATGACTAATGTTGAGCATCTTTTCATGTGCTTATTAGCCATATGTATGTCATCTTTGTAGAAATGTCTATTCGTATTCTTTGCCCATAACAACTGGATTCTTATTATTGTTGAGTTATTAGAGTTCTTTATGTATTATGGATACAAGTCCCTTATCAGGTATGTGATTTGCAATTACTTTCTCATATTCTGCAGGTTGTTTCACTTTCCTGATGGTATCCTTTGAAGCACAATAATTTTTAGTTTTGATAAAATCCAATATACCTATTTTCTCTTTTGTCATTCGTGCATCTGGTTTTATAGCTAAGAAACCATAGCCTAATGAAAGGTCACAAATATTTCCTCCCATGTTTTCTTTGAAGAGTTTTATAGTTTAAGCTCTTACATTTAGATCAATTATCTATTTTGAGTTAATTTTTGTGTGTGGTGAGAGGTAAGGGGCCAACTTTACACTTTTGCATGGGATTTCCAGTTGTCCCAGCTATTGAAAAGACTATTCTTTCCCCATTAACTGGTCTTGGCACACTTGTCAAAAATCAATTGACAGTAAATGTAAATATTTACACCTGGTCTCTCAATTCTGTTCCATTAATCTAAAGGTCTGGTCTTATGCCAGTGCCAGACTGTCTTGATTACTATAACTAAGTAATAAGTTTGGAAATCAGGAAGTCTAGACCTCCAAATTTGTTCTTTTTCAAGACTGTTTTGGCTGTTCTGGGTTTCCATATGAATTTTAGGATCAGCTTGTCAATTTCTGCAAAAAAAACAGCAGAGATTTAGATTGCACTGAATCCATAGATCAATTTAGGAAGTTCCTCCAGACTCTGCAACAATCTCCTAACAGATTTCTCTGTTACCTCTCTTACTCTCCTATAGCTCATTTCCCACACTTATCCAAAAGGAAATTTTTAACACCAATCAGAAAATATCACAAAAACCCTTTCTAAGTGTTAAAATAAAATCTAGACTCCTCATCAGTTTTCTAAAACCGTCATGATATGGCTCATGCCTCATTCTCTGACCTTACTCCAACTGCTCTCTCCCACAGTCCCTATGCTTCAGCTGGTTTCTGTCCCTTGAACATACCAAGGTTGTTCCCATCTTAGGGACTATGAATATGCTGTTTTCTCTGTATGGAACACCTTTTCTCCAGATGTTTTAGATGCCTGGCTCCTTCTCATTCAAACCTTAGCTCAAATGTTACCTCCTTAAGGAGGCCTTTTTTGATCATCCTATGTAAAGTACTCTTGACAGGAACCACTTTATTTCCTTGTTTGTATTTAGTTCATTGTACTTATCACTATCTGAAATTACTTATGTGTTTATGGTTTCTCTCTCTCCAATAGTTGATAAGCTCCAAGAGAAAGACCTTTTCCGTCTTGTACACTGTTACTCCCTGACTTCAATCATTCAGTGCATGAATAAATGGTTACATAAAACACTATTACTTGAACACTACTATTTTTTCACTTCAAAACAGGGTGATTAAATTAAATGACTTTTCAGAGCTGTTCCATTCAATATTCTGTTTTTAAATTTTATAACAGGCATATTTTTCACTGACCTACCAGACTGCAGGGAAAACCTGGAAGATAAAAAAGAACTAGCTAACTGGAATTTAGAAAGTCATCACTTGACAATGACCCTAGTAAAGACCGTTTCAAGGGAAAATAAGCAATGGATGCTAGAATTACTGGGTGAAAAGACGCCCAGCCTCAAAGTATAGCACCAAGAGATACATACTACTTAATTTAAAAGTGGAGAAATAATAACTTTACAATAAAGAAATCAAGCAGACACCACTTGAACCATGTGACCAAAATTAACATGACAGGTATTGTGTGCCTCCTGATGCGATACACTGAATGAAAAGGACACATCACTTCTGTGGTATGTGGGCCAAAACTGCATAACCTGAATTTAATTATGAAGAAATATCAGGAAAAAACAAAACTGAGGAATGTTTTATAAACTAATTTGTCAAGATTATGAAAGACAAAGAAGACTGAGAAACTGTTGCAGCTTAAGAGACCAAGACAAGGTAACTAAATACAATGTGTAATCCTGGATTAGGAAAAAAAAAATTTTTTTTCTTTTGCTATAAAGGGCATTATTGAGACAACTAGTAAAATTGAAATAAGGACTTTAAGAGATTAGATAATATTATTATCTCTGATTTCCATAACCAAATGTCCTCATTTTTAGGAAATATTGTTCACATTAAAGTATTTGGTGGTAAAAGAGCAGCAGGACTGAAACATACTCTAGTATAGATAAAGAGGGAGAGAATGATAAAACAATTGTAGTAAAAGGTCAGTATTTGGGGAGTCTGGTTGAAGGCTGCTCCTATGTTCCACACTTCATAAAGCTCTCTGTTACACACTTTTCCTTCCTTAGAAGCTGCCATTCTTACAATAAAATAGCACAAACTGGGTATCAAAGACTTACAATTTCATGACTCACTTACTGAATCAGAACTTAGTATTTCCCCAACTCCTTTCCCAACCTGAGCAACAACTAAATTATGCCAGTTGACTTTCTCAGTGACTTTGAGTTATAATGTTTACCTGGAAAGAATCCATGCAGACCGGACTGGAAGCCAGCTCCTCATCTACAGCATGCAGCTTCTCCATGAAAGTACTATCCCTGGTCTGTTTGGGCTTTGGCGGTGGCGGGGGCCCCATGGGCACTACCTCAGCACTGATGTGCCTGATGGCTGGTGTGGTAACTTTCTCAGCCTGATTAAAAGAGGCAAGTACATTAAAAAATAAAAGGGAGAGAGGGAGAAAAAAAAAGCAGGGCAAGAGAGACATCTTTCATCTACTAGTGGTCTTTCTCTTACCATCAAGACAGAAGTACATAAAAACAAAGGTACTGTCATCTTACTAAGCTGATGGACAGTGACTGTAATGGGGTTTGTAGGGGGGACTTGGTGATGGGGGAGCCTAGTAAACATGTTCCTCGTGTAATTGTAGATTAAGGATACTAAAATAAAAATAAATACATAAAATAAAATAACCAAAGGTACTGTGAAGTATACTATTCTAATTAGGCTTTATCCTATTTCCAATGAAGCCAACAAGATGTTACTTAGATTACTAAAAGTGGGGAGACCTAGTAAAAATGGCTTTAGGACAGTATCACAAAACAGATACTAAAGAAAAGAGTAGATGAAAAGAAACTCAGTCACTCATATTTGGCCTCTTAATGAGAACTCAGAAAAGCTCTCTCCCTACCAGTTTTCTCTTAACTACTCACTAACTTGAGGGACTTAGAAATTTAAACATTCATATTACCAGTCACAAATACCAAGAAGATAATGGTATGATTAGTGATCTTGAATCATGTTTGGCAAAGGGTGACAGCTCAGAATCATCATGGATAATCTATTTATATAGTTAAATAATCTCCTTATACAGTTACTTCTGACTTATTTCTTTCGTATGATGCAGATTTACCTCTGATAACATGACACTCTCCTCATCTGTTTCAGTCATCTCAGAAGACTGCCTTAATCTGGATTTCTTTGCCCCACGTGGAGACGAAGCAGTGCTTTCAACATCGCTTTCCAATAAACTCTATAAAACAAATCCAGTTCACTTTTATATTTATGCCCCTACCTTATTCCACTGAGCTTGAAGTAGCTCAAGAGACTGAATCATAAAATACCACTCAATTAGTCAGACTAAGAGAAAATAAAACTTAAATAGGAGCTTAATACTATGAAGGTGGGGTCAGGGATCAGCTCACTATCCTCATCAGCACGGCAAACTCTGTAGAATTGTAAGGCCTTGGTTTAAGGTACTTTTACAAACAAATCAAAGAACACTTTAAGAAACTGATTACACAGCAGTTAAGATGAACAAACCACAGCTATGAACAGCAGTAGAGATGGACCCACAAGGATTAATGTCGAACCACCTCCCAAAAAAAAGCCAGGCACAAGAGAATACATACACTTTGGGTCCATTTATACAAGGTTCAGAAATAGTAAAAACTTGAACTATCATGTGTAGAGCTATATAACTATAAAGAAAAGCAAAGAATTACCAAGAACTCTGGGTAGTGGTTATCTTTAAGAGGAAAAAAGTGACTATGGAATTAGGAATGGCATGTATGGGATGCCCTGGCAATACTATGTTTAATGACCTGAGAAGAAGCTTCATGAGGATTAGCTTTATAATTATTAAGCTGTATATTTTTATTTTATTCCATGCACAATTTTGTATGTTATACATGTATTCTATTTCATAATACACGACATGAAAAAATTAAGGGAGTATGAAAAGGAAACACCTCATGATCTTAGATTTACTCACAGAAGTGAGTAGAAAAAGGAACTACGTTCCAATCTTCTCTGTAGAACAGCTGCCATTTCTAAGGCGGCAAAGTACACTCAGCCTTACTGAGCCACATCTTTCCCATACCACCAGCTAATGCTGATGGCGGTAAACACTGACCTCTTCAGCAGTCTCATCTTCTTCTTCGTCATCTGGCTGGTACTCTTCATCTGAGGAGTCATCTTCTTCCAGGTGGATATCCACAAATTGAGGAGGCTACATAAGTACAATTACAGAAAGAGAAATGAAGCAATAGGAAACACAAATCAGATGTATGTGGGAACTAAGGGGAAGAAAGCTGAGCAGGAAAAAAAACAAAAGGAAAATCTTAAGCGCATAATGAACAGCTAAAGCAAGTAACAAGAGGCAGAGGTTAGAGAGATTCCTACCATAACAGTCAAACCTAAGAGTAATGGCATGGAAAAAAACCAAAGCTGGAATTAAAACAAGAGGATAGGTCCAAAAAAAGTTAACAAATAGAAAGTACTTAGGTTTCAAAACTGACAGTCTTTCTAGGAAAGGATAAGAATTACCTCTTCCAAGTTTACCTTAATTTCATTGGCCTTCTTAATTGGTGAAATATTCCAAGTTGGAATTACCTACCAACAGAGTATAAATAATTATGCTCACTTAACTGAAACATACTATTTTTCATTTTTACTTCCTCTTTTCCATCACAAAGAGTCATGTCCCTAACATGTAGCTGTACTGATCTAGGGGTATTGATTATCCTGAGGGTACACTCATATTATCTGTCAGAGCTTGACAAAAGAAAAGGAGAGAAGCATCTGTTTCATCATTAGCATTTCAGCTTTAAACCTAGTTGGGCTCTGTATTATCTATAAATTGATAAAGTTTTTTTTCTTGCTTAATTTATATCACAGCTTCAGTTCACATGGAATAATGAATGTGAAAACTATTTGTAAGGTACAATGGTACAGAAACCTAAGATACTACAGGAGATAGTAGCCTTTGACATCACTATTTTTTTTAATCAATTAACTAAGTCAACCATAAGTATGCCTCTAAAAAAACTGCCACGAAAATTTCCTATAGAAGGTTTTAAGGGTGAAGTGTCAAGCTGTCCATAACTTATTTTCAAATAGTACACAAAAGAACAATAGACAGATACAGAGAGATATATAAGCAAATATTGCAAAATTTTACAATTGTTAAATCTATATGTTATCTAGATTAACAGTAGAATTCTCTCAACTTTTTGTTTTAAAACAGAATTGGGGGGGTAGTTTTTTAAAGAATTTTTAAAAGCTCTTATATACCACTGACAAAATGCCATTCGAGTGTATTTCTTGACCATTTCATTTGTGAGACAATCAAAATCATCTTATGAACAAAATCTAACAGGCCACTAGGTTCTACCTCTATATGGAGCCTTAGGTTCTCCACATCTCAGCCCTCCATGTTCTGGCCACTTACATACCTCTGTGTAACTAGGCCCAACATAGAGTAGAAGCAATGATGTGATTCAGATCCACAGCCCTTTCCCCTGTTTGTTTCCAAACCAGTTTCCCTACTGCCAAATGCATGTGGAAGGCAAGGCAGCATCTGAAAGCATGCCGGAGTCAGTCTAAGCAGTAAGAGACCAGGACTCCCATCCCTGTTCTCCCATGTAAACTGTAATCATGGGTTAGCCAACTTCTTTACACCTACACTCATGGCTGGTAAACATAATCTGGAATCTGATTTGGATGTCCTTGTTATGTTGTTTTCCCAATCAAATATAGAATTAATGTTATTTATACTCAAACATCAGGTAGACTTCATAAAACTTCACAGTATCACTAATGGTTGCTTTCATCACAGCTACCACATTTATTCATGATTATTTCTTGAAGAGAGGTGAAATTTCACTTTATGCAATCAGGGTTATTTGATTAGACAAAAAAAAAAGATGTGGCTGTCTAAAAAAAGCCATTGCAACCTTAGGCTGCATTCAAATAAATATGTTATCTGGAACATTTAGGGGATAACCTAGCTTTCATCTGTACTAGTGAAATATCATGCAGAGTAGATTCCACTTCAGGCATATTTCTTTTTATTAAAATATCATTGATATACAATCTTAGGAAGGTTTCACATGAGCAACATTGTGGTTTCAATATTCACCTATATCATACGATGTCCACCCACTCCACTGAAGTCACTGTCCATCAGCATAGTAAAATGCTATGGACTCATGATTTGTCTCCTCCGTGCTGTACTGCCTTCCCTGTGACCTACCTCTATTGTGAGTGCTGATTATAAGGCCCCTTAATCCCCTTCTCCCTCCCTCTCCATCCACCCTCCCCAACCCCTTCCCTTTGGTAACCACTAGTCCCTTCTTAGAGTCTATAAGTCTACTGCTGTTTTGTTCCTTCAGTTTTGTTTTGTTTTTATACTCCACAAATAAGTGAAGTCATTTGGTACTTGTCTTTCTGTGCCTGGCTTATTTCACTGAGCATGACATACTTTAGGCATACTTTTAAAAGAGTATGGATGCTACATGCAAGAGAATGAAACTGGATCACTGCCTAATCCCATACACAAAAGTAAATTCAAAATGGATCAAAGACCTGAATGTCAGTCATGAAACCATAAAACCCTTAGAAAAAAAACATAGGCAAAAATCTCTTGGACATAAACACGAGCGACTTCTTCATGAACATATCTCCCTGGGCAAGAGAAACAAAAGCAAAAATAAACAAGTGGGACTATATCAAGCTGAAAAGCTTCTGTACAGCAAAGGACACCACCAAGAGAACAAAAAGGTACCCTACAGTATGGGAGAATATATTTATAAATGACAGATCCAATAGAGGGTTGACATCCAAAATACATAAAGAGCTTATGCACCTCAACAAACAAAAAGCAAAAAATGGGCAGAGGAGCTGAACAGACAGTTCTCCAAAGAAGAAATTCAGATGGCCAACAGACACATGAAAAGATGCTCCACATCGCTAGTCAACAGAGAAATGCAAATTAAAACCACAATGCAGTATCACCTCACACCAGTAAGGATGGCCACCATCCAAAAGACAAACAACAACAAATGTTGGTGAGGTTGTGGAGAAAGGGGAACCCTGCTACACTGCTGGTAGGAATGTAAATTAGTTCAACCACTGTGAAAAGCACTATGGAAATTCCTCAAAAAGCTCAAAATAGAAATACCATTTGACCCAGGAATTCCACTCCTAGAAATTTACTCTAAGAATGCAGCAGCCCAGTTTGAAAAAGACAGATGCACCCCTATGTTTATCGCAGCACTATTTACAATAGCCAAGAAATGGAAGCAACCTAAGTGACCATCAGTAGATGAATGGATAAAGAAGAGGTGGTACATATACACAATGGAATATTATTCAGACATAAGAAGAAAACAAATCCTACCATTTGCAGCAACACGGATGGAGCTAGAGGGTATTATGTTCAATGAAATAAGCCAGGCCAAGAAAGACAAGTACCAAATGATTTCACTTATCTGTGGAGTATAAGAGCAAAGAAAAACTAAAGGAACAAAACAGCAGCAGAATCACAGAACCCATGAATGGACTAACAGTTACCAAAGGGAAAGGGACTGGATAAGGGCAGAGAAAAAGAAAGGGGGCATTAGGATTAGCATGTATAGTGCATGGGGGGCACGGGGAGGGCTGTACAACACAGAGAAGACAAGTAGTGATTCTACAGCATCTTACTAAGTAATGGGGTTTTTTGGGGGGGGCGTTGGTGAAGGGAGGAGCCTAGTAAACATAATGTTCTTCATGTAATTGTAGATTAATGATAACAAAAAAAAAGAGTATGGGCAACATAGGCACACTCAGGAGAAAAAGATCAGGCTGGTGAACGTACTCAAAGCCTTGTCACATGAAAACCAATAAAAAATATTGTGGGACATTCAGCAAGAATGTTACAACAACACAAACTAGTTTTCTTCAATTAGGGGAAGGTCACATGGAGGGGGACAGATTCATTTCTTCTACATGGCTGCAAGGAGCAGAACTGGACAAACAGAAAAACCTACAACCTGCATGTTGGGCCCATAAGACAAATCTTCCTTACTATCAGAGCTACAATGAACTCCCTCAGGATTATCACCTTCCTTGTCACAGAAGGGAAGCAAAACTAGATGAGGGCTTATTAAGCAGGATGTTCCGAGCAATCAGAGCTTGCTGTACCAGAATATTTCAAAAGTCTTCAAATGGTTCTCATACTTCAGTGTGCAAAAGAATGAACCATGTTCTCAATAGTACATACTTCCAGGCCCCAGGGGTCCTGAGAATTAGGTCTGAGGTGAGCCCAAGAAGGTGCATTTTTAATAGCACTCTTGAGTGATGGGACACCAGGGTGACCTTGATGCAAGTGGTCCCTGGAACACACTTTGAAAAATACTATTCTGAACACTTTGTCACATTATAACATGAACAGAAAAACAGACCTTGCTCACTGATGTCAACCACTTTAAATGGTCAACTCCCTAGCACTTCCAAAAAGCAATACTTCAACATCAGCCAAAATAAAAATAAATTATTATAATGGCTTCACATATTCTGTCTCCATTTGTCTTTTTTTTTTGGTATCATTAATGTAAAATCACATGAGCAACATTGTGGTTACTAGATTCCCCCCACTATCAAGTCCCCACCACATACCCCATTACAGCCACTGCCCATCAGCATAATAAGATGCTATAGAGTCACTACTTGTCTTCTCTTTGTTATACTGCCTTCCCCGTGACCCTACCCCACATTATGTGTGCTAATAGTAATGCCCCTTTTTCCCTTTATCCCTCCCGTCCCACCCATTCTCCCCAGTCCCTTTCCTTTTGGTAACTGTTAGTCCATTCTTGGGTTCTGTGAGTCTGCTGCTGTTTTGTTCCTTCAGTTTTGCTTTGTTCTTATGCTCCATAGATGAGTGAAGTCTGTCTCCACTTGTCTTTTATAAATATTTCTTTAAGAAGGCAAACCCAAACCACAGTAAATCTCTCCTATATATATGTTTTCCATACAAATAAACAGGAATTAGATTTTATTTACCAAGCTAAATAAACAACAAAAAACAGAACACCCACCACTCCTTTTTCCACCACTTCCTTCAGTTTAGAGCGTGTCATTTTGGGCTCCTAAGTAGGGGAAAAAGAGAAGAACGCAGTCAATAAAAATCATTGTGATTCTTGGGTCTTGAGATGCTAACTTTGTCCCAACTATCAGACTATTTAGAAACTTCCAAGTGACCTCCTACATAGGCAATTTACAGATAGTTCTGTTCCATGACATTGAATGAATGAGTTACTCACAAACATTGGCATATCTTCTGTTTCACTGATGGCTGCTTTCATCATGGCTACCACATGTTCATTTGTGATTACTTCCTGAAGAAAAATGAAATTTCACTTTTTGCAATAAAGATGTGTCATCTAGATGACACAGTCTGTAACCCTGCTAAGCAGACACAGATAGAAGATAAATTAGAGCTAGATACTCAAACAGCTTCAGATTGAGGTATAGCAAGTTAACTGAAAGCAAAGCAGCTTTGGACAGAGGCTCAGGGCTTTGAACAATAGAGCAGCAAACACACCAATCTCATTAGCTGCTAGAAAGGACAGAAATGGCTCAGATTCTGGGGTAACTAACTATATGCTTAAAAGAAACAGTAATAACAAAGGCACCGTAAACACATCAAAGAACAGCATTTGTATATGTGCAAAAAGTACTGTAATCTGTTTAGCTGGCATCTTTTCAGACTTATCAACCCACAAAAGAGTAAATCCACTACGAACATTACTATCTTAGCATCTGCTAAACAATTCAATAAACAATCAAGTCAGTGGAAGGAAGCAGAGCAACTTTATCTTCCCAATTGAGTTCGTTAATGTGTCCAGATTTCAAACTTGTGCTGAGTACAAAGACAAAATTATCTTGAAATGTAAAATGTTTTGCCACAGTTAACTCACAAAATTAGTAATCACATACCAAGAGTCAAGAATTTCCTGAGTATTTTTCATTGTTTTCCATGAAAAACTTCCATTCTGATTACACACCAGCCCATCTTATTACTCACATGGAGGATGTTTCGCACGTTGACAGCTGTTAGGTTGTGCTGCTTGGCGCCATCCTCTAAGGTACGGTCAAGCATGTCATCCAGTTTCAGGTCATAAGCCAAAGTCCCTTCTTCTGGACCCCTTCCATCTCGTTTCCTCTTGGTGCCTTTCTTCTTTTTTCGCCTTTTCTCACTCTCTTCATTGTCTTGCTCTTCTGCAGATAAACCAATTACATCACGAGAATCTCCTAAACAACTGCTCCAGGAACTTAACCCAAAAAGCCAACAGTAGAAGAAAAAAAGCTGCCAGCTGTTTGTCCCAAGAAATCAAAGACGACTGTGATATGGTAGTGGTTGTGAAATAGTAGAGGTGGTGTTACTGTCAATAACAATACCTAACATTCACTGAATATTTATTTTGTGTCAGGCATTCTCCTCCACACTTTATACATATTAACTCACTTCTCATAACAACCCTGTAAAGTAGGGACTAATATTTTCCCACTGCACACATGAAGAAACAAGTCAGAGAGATTCAGAAACTTTCCCAAGAGCTAGTAATGACAGAGGCATGTTTTGAAGCCAAGCAAGATAGCTCTGTAGTCGTAATTATTACTCTATACTGCTTAAATAATACATCAGAAGCCCTGGGTTTGTGTCCCAGGTCTACAACTTAACTAGGTGACCTTGGCAATACAGTCTCATTCATTTCTCTTTTGTAAAATACTGGTATCTACCCATTAGAGAGGCCATGCAGATTAAATGAAATAACATATAGTAAAGTGCTTTATAAGCAATGAAACAGTATACAAATGTAATTTATCATTATTATTATATCACTGAATGTAGAAAATAGAAAAACCAAGAGCAAACCAATACAAAAAAATCCACTCTGAACTACACAAAAAAAAGTGGGGGTTTAAAACCAATACAATATTGTAGATCAACTATACTTTAATTTAAAAAAAAAGAAGAGGGACAAAGTTTCTTTATTCTACAAGACAGGAGTATATATATAACCAGATGAAAGGAAAACCTTCTTGATTATTAGAATCTGGTAAGTCCTGAAATAGATTATTATGCAATATCAAAATGACATTCTCATCTCTCTGACACTTTTAGTCAGCTACTATATGAAAACAAGGGATTAGAGAAGATTAACATCAAGACGACCCTCTCTGTTTAGATTTTATGATCTTTAAGCCACGACATGGTAATATTTACTCAGTAAAGTATTATTATTAGTAATTTCAAATAATTGCTTTTGCCCTTCTGAATACATTTCAAGAATTTAATAAATGTTTATAACTTCCAACCCAATAATAATTCTTAAGGAAATAATTAGATATGCAAGATTAATAATCAAGTTATTTACTAATTATTTTAGCAAAAGCAAGGAAAATACCTAAATGTCCAATATTAAAGAAATTGTTAAGTGAACACTGGTACATGCATTGGACTATAATTGAACCATTATTAAAAATTGTCTTTTTAAGCAATGGGGGGAAAATATCTACAAAGAGTTTTTAATTACATGGAATATATACATATTAACATACAGAATATATGTTGTTATAAATATTTATTTGATGTATTATAATGTATATATATATAACATATATGATACATTTCATAATACATAAAATTCTTTCCGGTAATTTTTCTGATACTGATATTTATAGGAAAAAATGGGAAGAATTCAAAAACACACATCTTACATTTGTGTGACCTAAACAAAAATAGGTTGCCTTGAGGTGTATCCCAACAAGGTGATAGATGCAAAAGAAATATAAATTTCCACTAAATATCAAAAAAGTCACAAAGCTCTTTACCAACAATCTTTTGAGAAAGCAGCAAAAGCTAAATTACGTAGCATACTACACAACAAAACTTTCTAAAAACCTGTGTATATGTATCTTTTCCCTAAGGCTATCTTCTCACTTCATTTACCCCTTTTCTCCATAAACTCCAAAACTCTTCTCTCTGTCTTCACCACTCCTGCATCTCCTCTCTTTGCTCCTCCCTTCCCTCTTGCATTCCTCCCCATTGTAGACCAAGCTAGCCAGTTCTTGACTTCTGCCATCTACCTGTTCCTCCTCATTTTATTAGCACTTTAACAATGACCTGGTAGTTGCAGAACAAGAAAAGGATTTGACACTTGAGGAAGTTTGGGTTCAGCTTTATACTCATATATCAAGTGTCAAGTAACACTGTTAATTGTAAAACTGACCGAGGGGAAAGTTTTTTTGTGTCTTTTCTTTGAAACTTTGAAAAAGATGAAACTATTAATACCATACTAGAAAACAATAAAGTTTGTTATTAATTAAAAATTGAACAAAAGAAATCTTCTTTACAAAATTTGGATCTATAAAATAGAATCCAAATTTTCATAGATATGAAAGCCAAAAAAAGGAAACTTACAATGGAAGCAGTTAATAGTCCATAAAATTTATATAGATAGCTGATGAGGAATCAAACTGTCCATTCAACAGTGGTCCTCCAACTGTCTACTGTGAAGAACTAGTTTTGGTTTTGACCAATCCATTGCAGACTCATACTTTTATAAAATAAAGTAGAACGCAGCCATAATATCAAATGTTATAACATTTCTAAGATTTTACTCTCAGTTTCCATAAATAATTTTGTTTCAAACCAGTAACAAACAGTTCTCAAACCAGCACTGGTTCTCAGACCACACTCTGAGTAACTCTGCTTTAAAATATACACTGAAGGGCATTATGATTAGCACACAAAATGTAGTGGGGGGGGGGACACAGGAAAGGCAGTATATACAGAGAAGACAAGTAATGATTCTATAGCATCTTACTATGCTGATGGACAGTGACTATAATGGGGCATGTGGGGGGGACTTGATAATAGGGGGAGTCTAGTAACCATAATGTTGTTCAAGTAATTGTACATTAACGATACCAAAATAAAATTTTTAATATACACTGAAAAACATTTAGCCCCAATAAAAATACAATCAAACAAATATGAAAAATAATTTAAATGAAGTGTGCAGAAAACATCATAATATTAAAATGAGAGTAGAATTCACCACAGAATTTTTTTTTCATGGAGAAATCATCAGAGTTAGCAAAATTCCATTCAAAATCGCTCTTTTATAAACATGGAATCAAAGCAATCAATGTGAGGCTAAACCATCCCAATGCCTAAATTACATCACCCATATTTCTCCTCTGATTTCTGACTTTACTGCTGAGTATATAAAGAATAAGAAATATGCGTCTGTAAGGAAAAATCTAATATATTCAAGTTTCGGCATGTTAAACAATCCAAAAAGAGAACAGATAATTCAACAATTTTTTATTCTGTTTTAGAATTAATCCTTTATCTTACTTTTAAATACTGGGATACAACCAAGTCTAAGAATTCTAATGAGTTGAAATTTAATATTAAAAAAGGAAGCCACTCAATAAAGATCAGACTGGAAAAGATAAAAAAGAAAATCTAATTTTTCCTTCCATAAGAAAGGTTGAAAATAGACAAGATATTTCCTGAGATGTACAGCTAATGATGTAAACAATAAATTGAAAATAAAAATGCACTGTAAATGGACTGTGGAGTAGATGAAGACAGTAAAAATATGGGAGGATTCTATAACATCTAAATCACCAAAGTTGCTTAAAAGCCCTGTCAAATCACCCAATACTTCTGTATATTGGTGAAGTCACTATATGGAAAACAGTAGTAAGGTTCCTCAAAAAATTAAAAATAGAAATATCATATGATCCAATAATTCCACTTCTGGGAATTTACCCAAAGAAAATAAAATCACTAATTCAAAATGATACACGTACTCTAATGTTTATTGCAGCATTATTTACAACAGATAAGACATGGAAGCAACCTAGTATCCACTGATAGATGAAAAGATAAAGAAGATACGGTAAGTACATATATACAATGTACTCAGCCATAAAAAAAAAGAATGAAATCTTGCCATTTGCAACAACACTGATGGACCTAGAGGTTATTATGCTAAATGAAATAAGTCAGAGAAAGACAAATACTAGATGATTTCACTTAAAGAAGGAATCTAAAAAGCAAAACAAACAAAATAGAAATAGACTCATAGGCACACAGAACAGACTGGTAGTTGCCATGGTAGGGGTGGGAGTAGGGTGTGGGTGAGACATGTGAAGGGAGGAAAAATTGATGAAAATGTTTGCTATCTTGTCCCAGGTGATGGTGACATGAGTGTATACACATGTCAAAAATTCATCAAGTTGAACACTAAGATTTGTGCATTTTATTGTATGTACCTCAATTTTTTAAAAAAGGAATGTAAAACTAAAAAGCTAATAGATCCTGCCATTTGCAACAACATGGATAGATCTAGAGGGTATTATGCTCAGTGAAATAAGCCAGGCAGAAAAAGGCAAATACCATATGATTTCACTTATTTGTGGAATATAAAAACAAAGTAAAACAGAAGGAACAAAACAGCAGTAGACTCATAGACACTGAGAAGTGACTAGTGGTTACCAAGGGGGATGGCTTGGGGGGGGACGGGGAAGGGGATAAAGGGGTGCAATAATTTGCAATCACAATATAAGCTGGTCATGGGGACAGTAGTACAGCACAGAGAATATAGTCAATGATTCTGTAACATCTTTCTTTGTTGATAGACAGTAACCACACTAGAGGGGGTGAGGATTTAATAATATGGGTTAACTGTTGAACCACTATGTTGTATATTTGAAATCAACCTAAGATTGTATATCAACGATACCTCAGTAATTAAAAAGAAACGCTAATAGAGAAGAAAAATATAAGTACTTCATTAATCTGAAAGAAAGAACGGAAAAATAAAGGAATAAAGAAGAGATAGGAAAACAGAAAACTCAACTATATCAGAAATTACATTAAATATAAATGAAGTAAATGGTGAACTAGCAGAAAAAGTAATCAGGAAAACAATTCCATTCCCAACTGCATCAAAAAGAATAAAATACCTAGAAATAAACCTAACCAAGGAAGTGAAAGACCTATACCCTGAAAACTACAAGACATTCTTAAGAGAAATTAAAGAGGAGGACACTAATAAATGGCTCTTGGCTAGGAAGAACTAATATTGTCAAAATGGCCATCCTGACTAAGGCAATCTACAGATTCAATGCAATCCGTATCAAAATACCAACAGCATTCTTCAATGAACTGGAACAAATAGTTCTAAAATTCAGATGGA